GACAGCCCGCAGGGAGCAGGTAGGATCGCAGCAACACTAAGAGGCTCTGCTTCCAGCTCCGAGGTTGGTGTCACCTCCCTCTGAAGGCTTATTCGCTCAGATGGGGCCGCCTGTCTCAGCAGGGTCGTCTGACCAATGGTGACCCCTCACCAGCCACAGGCCTTGGTGCTACATCAATGCATCCAGCAAGCACCCAGGCAGAGACAGCCCAAGGCAGCCAACCCGTGTGTTTTCACAAACCTGCAGACACTTGGTCTCCTGCAAACCTGGGGCTGTGAGCACTGACAGCCTCGCGAGGTGCATTGGAGGCACAGAGCAAAATGCACGAAGAAGCGTGGGACTGAGAAGACAGCCGGGGAAGGTGGAGATGGAACAGCCCAGAGGAGGAAGGGAGAGAGGGAAGAGAGGACAGGTGGTGCGAATGGGGGAAACCCCAACCATCTGGACTCCTTCCAGTCCTAAGCTGCTTCTCTCTAAAGATCTTTAACTCTTTGGGAACCATGGCCCTTTTGAAAAATTTTCTTTCCTAAAAAATATGCACACTAGTTTGCCTGCAATCATGTTACCATTTTGCCTGCAATCCCAGGGGTTTTTAGACCCGCTAAGAAATCCTATCGTCTCCAACCCCAACTGATCTGAGATGTCAGCCTTGCTCGGCACTGTTCTTCAGGACAGCAACACTGAAGGAAAAAAGAGGAAACTCCAGAGGGCGTGGAGGGAGGACAAGAGGGAAAGAATGACTATAATGGTGTCGTTTCTGTCTTCTCACAAAAGTCATAAGTGTCCTCAGACAAGACAGGCAGACGGATGGATGGGCAGATAGATAGACAGACAGAAGATAGATGAAAGATTAGATAGATAGATAGATAGATAGATAGATTCAGACAGATAGATGGATGGATAACCTTTCTGCTTTCCACAGAAAATAAAGTTGTAGTGACAGTTTGGACTCATTTTGCTTCCCTATCGGGATGCTTAGAACTGTCACAACTTAAACATAATCCAATAAATGGCCCTCTGCTCTTGGAAAATACCTCCAAACAGGCAGATTTCTCAAAAGGTAATGTTCCTATGCACCTCCGTCTACCCAAGATACTTTGCCTATCTGCTTCTCCTGGCTGCAATCTGTCTCCATGTAGAAATTTTCCAGCCCCCACCAGATGTAATGTCATGCAGAAGACTCAAAGGGAATGGTAAAAGGATTAGTAGATTGATCGATGGAAGATATTAATGCTCTTTCATGTTGGGTTGAAGAAGGATTTGAGGTCATCAGAAGAGAGGGTCGCAGGAGAATAGACCTCAAAAGACTCCTTGGATTAAAATCCTATTAAACTCACATCAGCTTCTCCAGGAGGCATTTGAGAAGACGGGGGTTTCTTTAACATGTCACCATAATTAACCTTCCCTTAAGCTGTTTTGGGTGGGGAACTTCAGCAATTAAGAAACTGAAAAACTTTCATTTTCTGTCGCCCACATGACCTTTTGAATGGTTTGAAAACTGGAGTGCAAAGTGGTTTAGCTTAATTGATTTGAGGGGTTCAGATCTCCCTCCCCAACCTGCTGTCAGACTCGCCCCTGAGATCTGAGGCCCTTGGTGAAAAGGGCATTTTGTCTGGAATAAAAATCAAAGGTTCAGATCTACTGTGATGCTTTTCTTCCTCCGATCATTCCCCTACTGAGTCTTTTAGAAAAACTAACTTGGCAGGGGCCAGTTGTTTCCCCTAAAAGGATCTTTTTTGGGGGGCAGACTCTATTTCATAAAAACCACAACAGGAGCCAAAAGGTCCCGTGTCTCGCAGCTGGTGCCGGGTCACACACCAGGTCAGCATCGGCTGTGTTGTGACAGGTAAGTTAAAGCCAGTGAGAGCAGCCAGATGGAAAGGGGTGGTCAAGTAAAGGTCACAGAATATATACTGTTCTAAAGGGTTGGTCTCAGTTGCTTTTTCTTCACCAGGTAACATTTCACCCCACCAGTAGATGTCCGTACCCTGTCATTTGGGGTAGTGAGGTGAGGAACCCATTAGAGGACTGAGCCTGTGCTTTGCCAGTCTCCAATGAGCCCAGAGGTGGTTACACACTGCTTCTGCGTGAAAACATCAGCTTTGTTACTTTCACGCTTCCTGGGTCCTCAGAGTGAAACACACAAGGAGAAGCGGCCAGGTCCCATCAGCCCTGTCTCCATTTACAGCATCTGTCTCTTTTCTGTGTTTACGTGGATGTCCCTTCCCCCTCGCCAGACTGTGATCTCCTTAAGCAGACTGACCACCTGCTCCAGTTTCTAGCACAGTGCTGGGCACAAAGCCATGCTCAACACACCCTTGTCTGTGACCACATAGAAACTACTCGGTGATGGTGTGCACACTTACAGTGAAAAATCGAGGGGGTCTGTAGGGCTGCCCAAGCTCTGAGGTCGTTTTCCAGTTCTCAGAATCTCTGAAAAAGTAGCTGTGCGCTGGCTGGCTCTTGGTGGCTCTTGCACTCGTGCCCGTGTTTATATTATAATAACAATGACCACAATGGTAAGAATAAAGAACACCTATTGAGGCCTTAAACATGCTCTTCTCTGTTCCCGTGCTTCACTTGCATGATTTCATCAATCCTACAAGGCAGAGGCTTTTGTTACTCTGCTCTGATACAATGGGAGGCTACAGGGGTCAATAGTTTGCTCAAAGTCACGCCAAAGGCCTTACAGCACAATTCCAGAATCAGGGCTCCTAACTCTCCCGCTATATCCCCGCCAAGAACCTCCTCTCCGAGCCTCCAGGTCCGTTGCCAGGCCTCCAGCTGGCCTCCCACATCTTCCCTGGCTCCCCCAGGGGCCGCCTGCCTGCTTGTCAATTGCTTTGATTTCCTCCCCAGCTGCCCTGCTTCCACCTGCTCCATCCAGAGGCAGAGCTGCCCCAGGATCCGGCAGGCCCTTTGTCCTGAAGGCCTGCAGCTCCTGTTGGGAGCAGGTGGCCGGAAGAGCAGGAGAGGGCAGTCATCAGGGAAGCAGCCTGGGAGGCTGAGGGGGAAGGAAGGCCGATGGGCTGCTCTGGGGAGGAATTCCAAGTGCCTGCCATCCAGAGACCCGAGCCCATCTGCATGGCTGTCCACCTGCACGGGCAGACCCTGGGCTGGGCTTCTTGCCTCGATTTTACCTGTAGGAAGGCAAAGGCAGTAAAGAAGAGATCTCCTAGGAAGACCTTGGTGCTACCTTTTAGAAAAGGTTTCAGTGGCCTGTTTTTCAAAGTGGATCCTGTCTCATTTGAAAACATCTCTGACGATTAAAATGCTGTTTTTAGCTACAGTGCCTGAAGGCCTCTTGGCCTAAAGTCTTTGGGTGTTTTGGAAAGAAACTGTTGATTTCGTGATAGAAAAATATTTTGATTTTTGTTTAAAGTTCATCTCAGAAATCACATTTTAAGGTATTAACCCCAATGAATTGAAAACTTGTGTTCCCACAAAAACCCTCACACAAACATTTATAACAGCTTTATTCATGATCACCAAAAATCAAAAGCAACCAGGATGTTCCCCAACAGGTGACTGGACAAACTGTGGTATGTCCTAACAATGAAATATTATTCAGCAATAAAAATAAATGAGCTATCAAGTCACAAAGAGAGATGCAGGAAACGAACACCTATATGTGTTTTGCTAAGTAAAAGAAGCCAGTCTGAAAAGGCAACGGACCGTATGATTCCAACTATATGACATTCTAGGAAAGGCACAACTGTGGAGACAATAAAAAGATCAGGGTTGTACAGAGGGAGAGTGAAATGGGGGAAAGAGTGGGTGGAGCACAGCGCATGTTGGGGACGGCAAAACTATTCTTTATGACATTGTAATGGTAGACATATGTGATGAGACATTTGTCAAAACCCATAGAACTTAAAACACAAAGTGTGATCCTGAACGTAAACTATGTACTTTAGTTAATAATAGCATGTCCATATTGGCTCAGCAGCTATTAAAAAAATGTTCCACACTGATGCAAAATGTTTATAGGGGAATCTGAGGCGGTGGAGGACAAAGACAAACAGGAACTCTCTGAACTCTGTGTGATTTTTCCATAAACCTAATACTGCTCTAAAAAATAAAATCTGTTTAAAGGATGGTTCATCTGAATATCCTTTGAACCCTAAAAATTGATCACCTTGCTCGTCTGTATTTTTTTTTCGGCTCGTCATAATCATAACAACAAGCACATGCTATCATTTATTCAGCCGTATAATGGGCCAGGCACTGTTCGAAGCAGTTACTGTATTTTCTCATTTAACCCTCACAGACTCTGAGGTCAGAGTAGTTAAAGGGACTTGTCAAGGGTCTCAAAGTCAACAAGTGAAATAAGTAGGACTTGAATTGAGGTCTGTTTACACCTAAGTTCAAGCTTACAATTCTTCCCTCCAGAGGACACCAACAGGCCGCCTTGAGTAACAGACAATGGGACAAAGCAAATCTTGACAACTCCTGTGTCCAGTCATTCACTCACAAATGACACCCATATACCAAGCATGGTGCTAAATTCTGAGTATAAATATTGGTAAGAAAGTCTCACTGTCCAGAAGAGGCTTGTAATTTAGTAGAAGAGACAGATAAAGAGACAGAAATGACAATAAGAGCTCAAGGAACAAGAGCCAGGCAGCCAGCTCCAGGACTGGCATGTCACAAAAAGGTCTGGGGAGAGCCCTCTGACTGGGAATGGAGACAAACACCCTGGATACTCTAAGCATCCCACTTCTGGAGATGGAAGATCATGAGAATGATAATCCGGGAATGAAAAATATATTAAATTGTGGCAACTGAAAGAAAACTACTAATATAAGAAATCGCTATCTTGAGCAAGGGGAGAAAGAACAAACATTCATTATATGTCTACAAAGCACTTGACATTTGTTCACCTTCCCAGCCAAATCCACTTGCTTTATCCCCTGACATCTTCCAGGGCAGGTACTATTTCTGCTGTTATTTTATGAAGATAGTGTGGAGTTAATTATGAGGCGTAATTCCTCGCTTACCTGTGTCTTTCTTCTTATCTCGGGAAAGCTCGTGGACGGTGGCGCCAATGTCGTGTCTCAAGATCTTGATGATGTTTGCCAGGGCAGGCACACTACGTTTATCCAGGTAGGTGAAAAATTCATACTCATCTTTCTTTAAACGAGAAGGTCTTGATTCAATGTGGGTCAGGTTTATATCATTTTCCTAGAAGACAGGATTGGCAGTAGGAGGGGCACTCATTAGGACTAACATAAGCCAAAGATGTGAAACCAGAACAAAAAACCCGACACAATGAAATGTAGAGATGAGGAATGAGATGTTTATTTAATAAGAGTAAACGAAAGCCTTTAAATTTTCAAATTGTTTACTTTTTCTTCTTTGAAATCAAGTACCAAATGACAAGAGGTGGGGCAGATTCTTTAAATATAACAGAATTTATTTATTTTAATACATATTTTTTATTTTAAAATCGTGGGGTATGGTTAAGGATTGGGTATACAAATATTCATTGTGCAGGTATCCTTGTTGATGAGGTATGCCCCCCTTTCCCCAGACAGATATTGACTACCGCTAATTCCACCTTCCTTTCCCTCCCTGCTCCCCCATAGTTTCCCGCCACTGTCCAACTTTTTCTTATAGTATTAAATGCAACAGAATTCAATCACGTGAAATCTTTTAAAGACCTAGCATTGCCACCATCAGATTTTGGTTTGGTTCAGATATCTAGAACAGTGGTTGCCAAAAAATTTACGTAGGAAAACCCACCTTCCCAAGAATCTCAATAAATAAACAATACAGAGGCAACATTGCTCTGCTTGAATAGAGAGTCCACAGGGGTGAGACTTATTGAGTTTACATCTAAGTTTTAAATAATATCTGCTATGAGACCTTAGACAATGCACTTTTATGCGTCTAACCCTCAGTTTCCCTATCTGTCATTTGCTGGTCTTAATGATATCTGCTTCATAAGTTCACTAGGAGCGTCAGATAATAGATAATACGAGACATCTATACATCTTGGCGCATGTTAAGTGCTCAATAAAATGTTTCTAATATAATGACCATGCATATGTTTATATAATTACTTTCTGTTCAATCTCCTCAACAACTATATATATTTGTAGCACTCATCAGTGGTCAATCACCTTCTAGATTCTTAGGCTCTGTCAGTGACAAATTGAACCAAGATACTTTATAAAACTTACATTCAGCCGGGCTCGGTGGCTCAGCCTGTAAGACCGCACCTTTGGGAGGCTGTGATGAGTGGATTGCCTGAGCCCACGGCTTCGAGACCCGCCTGGGCGGCGAGACCTCATCTCTACAATAAATCAAAAAATCAGCTGGGCGTGGTAGTGTGCGCCTGTAATTCCAGCTACTTGGAAGGCTGAGGCGGAAGGATTGCCGGAGCCCAGGAGGTCGAGGCTGCGGTGGCTGGGAGCGGCCACTGCGCTTCAGTCAGGGCGACAGAGTGAGACTCCAACTCAAAAAAAAACCAAAAAGCTTACATTCAAGTTGTGGAACTACAAGCAACAAACATAAAAGATAACTAATTTGTGCATTTTATGATGACAAAGACTAAGGAAAAAATACAAGTCAGAGCAGGGAAAAGGGAGTGGGCAGTCCAGAGGCAGGGGGAGGGCAGATTGCAGTGTTAAATAGGGCAGACACATGGGCCTCATTGGGAAGATAAGATCTATGCACAGACCTAAAGGAGTTGAGAGAGGTGACGACTCTGCAGTGTCAGTGGGTCTGGCCTGTTGAAGGGACAGCCATGAGGCCAGGATGACCAGCGGAGAGGAAATGAAAGAGGAAATAGTAGGAGATGGTGTCAAAATAACCATGGGGTGGCAGCCAGTCATGGAGATCATTGCAGGTCATTTTAAGGAATGAGGTTTTGATTCTGGAAGAAATAGGCTTTCTGCCAATATGATCTCGCAAACTTAATATGATCAGTCTCACTTGGGGAATAAATAGACCGACCAGGCAACACCTGTTAGAAGCCATTACTGGAAGCCACGTGAGATGCGACCATGGTTGTGCCCATGACGAGGGGGTGGAGGCAGTACAAAGAGGTTATATTCTGGATACTCCATATAATTTCCTCAAAAGAGTATTAATCATCCAGGGACATGAGAAGAGTTTGTAGATAAGACAATGGAAAACATCCATCATATGCCACACCCCCCTCAGATCTGACTTTGACTTTGTATCTGATGAAGATCTCAGAAGCCCAGGGGGAAGAAGAGAGTCCCTCATAATCTTAGTGTGGGCCAAGGTAGATACTAAGGTAATTCAAAGATGAATGAGATATTCTGACTTTGCTATTAGCCGGCCCTACCCTCTGTCAGACCAGTTTTAACAGTTGCTTGATGGTCCACTGTGTGGGAGGAGTCATAAATCCTTTAACCAATACTCTTGTGAGAAACATGTGACTTGCTTCTTATTGTTTTATTACTAGAAACATTGGACAGTGGTACACATACATTTTTGCCTACTCGCCTAACTGATTTCTCAGCATAAATGCTCAGGGGCCAAATTGTTAAATCAGAAAGTATTTACCCTTTAAAGATTCTTTATGTACTGTCCCATTGCCCTCTGGAAAGAATGCTCCAGAGGTAGAACTCATATGTTCTACCTCTAGAGGACTCATACTTCTCACCTGTACCAATTGCAATATTCTTGACCTGGTGGGTGAAAAGTGCTCATGCCTCATTGCTTAATGTTTCATTGTATTGCTGAGGAGACAAAACATTTTTCCTATTTTTATTTCTTCTTGTATGAATTTTCAATTTATGGTATTTATCTATTAGAAAACTTTTTTTTTTACTGATAAGAAATAATGTTTTATATGTTGATGGCAACTGTTTTATATGATTTTTTTCAAATTATATTTATCCTTGACACCTTAAGCACCTTTATACAAACTTTTTTAAATGCTCTCAAAAAACCTTAGAAAATAACAAGTGTAAATAGCCCTAGAGGTTTTCAAGAATGTGGCTGCTACATATTTTCAGAAGAAGGCAATAACTTCTTCCTCCTCACTGCCTGGGTATCAGGCTTTCCCGGATAGTCTCAAGTGCTACTTAATTTTAGAACCAAGTTCCCTGTACTTCTCCAGTTTTTCATGGCCTCTACTGAATGCTAGGTACAAAAGCTACCAGACATAAATACAAAACACAAGGTGGGATGAGTAAATTGTCCAAATGCATCCACTACAAAAAAAAAATGGTTGGGTTGGTTGACTCAAGGGTCTTATTCACATCTGAATTGTCGCCTTCTGAGAAAAGGGAGGGAAAGGAGGGACAAGGCCCATTTCTAATTATAACATGTCACAGTTTTCTTTCAAAATCTGGATTCTTTGAACTGGTTCAGAAGCAGAAATGGACTCAGACATGAATGTTGGTCAGCAGCAAGACGTGGCAGAGCCTAGTAACGCACACTGAACCTGCAGTCAATTTGAAGTCATCCACAGTGCTTCACTGCCAAGAGTGTGAGCTACACAACACAACAACCATGCCCACATTCATGCAAAGAGCTGGGAAGCTGCTTTTATTAAATGCCATAAAAATGCAATAATTATTATTATTACTATAGCTGCTCAACTTCAGTATCTTTAGATGGTGACATTTGAGCTCTTATGGTTTTTATAACAAAAAAGGTCATTTACTTAAGTTAATCTTCAAATGTAAATGCTTAACAAATCATCTGCTACTTCAGAAGATCAGTGATTTCCTTGGTAGAGCTACTCATTATGGAGAAAACTGTGGCGTATAGTCTATACTTTACTAAAACAAAGAAACAAATACTAGGGGTCATCCCAACATTTAAATGGGCAATAAAGACCCTGAAAATGGAACTTGAATAATTTTTAAATTTTGAAAAATGACGTTCACTGACCTAGTAGTTGAAGAGGTATGTCTTTTGCCTTGATTGTTAATGGTATAAAGTTGAGAACACAGTAATGACACGTCTTACCATTGAAATGTCACTTTATAGTACATTTCTATAGTACTAAAATTCTTCTCTGTGATCATCCCAACAATCCTTGAAGGTGGTGAAGGAGGACATAAAAAATAAAATCAGAGGTGAAGTTGCTTTGTTGTAAGTAGTGAAAGAGCGAGGTTCATTTTTCCTAATCTCAGAGTCATCAGTTTTCTAATCATACGGCCTTTGCTGTGTACAGTGAGCACTCCACAATGTCAACTTTCATTATTATTATTTTTGTTCTTTATTTTTTTTTTTGAGTTGGAGTCTCACTCTGCCGCCCAGACTGGAGTGCAGTGGATGCTCCTGGCCACCGCAGCCTCGCCTGCTGGGCTCCTGCGATCCTTCTGCCTCAGCTTTCCAAGTAGCTGGAACTACAGGCGCGCGCAACCATGCCCTGCTAATTTTTGATTTATGGTAGAGATGAGGTCTTGCCAAGTTGCCCAGGCAGGTCTCGAACCCGCGGGCTCAGGCAATCCACTCACGCCAGCCTCCCAAGGCTCAGGATTACAGGCTGAGCCACCGAGCTTGGCTCATTATTTTTGTTCTTAAGTCAAACACAAAAAACTAAAACCTTTGTGTGTAGTAAATACAATAATAAGCACTCAGGCTCTCTTCCTGCTGGTTCTACCCCAGGCTTCTCCAGGACACGTTGTGCAGTCATTATTGATGGCTCCAGCTGTAAAGGACACATCCCTGACAGCTGTGACCTGGAAATCAACATGAGGACCCTACAGGGGAGAAAATGGAATGGAGGGAAGGCCAGAGAGATGGAGGGAACTCTGAATCTTTCTTGGGCAAACAGAAGTTACTTCCTGTTCAAAGCAAAATGCAGTGTCATCCTTCTTGGCTCAGGAAAAAAGAGAATTGGTAGGTTCTACCTATTATTTGCCTAAGTTGAAATTTCAAAAGCAGAGATAACCTATCTCTGCCTTGAGCAGAGCAGAAAAAACGGTAAAGTCAAGGGCCAAGAATGAATACCCCTCTGGCATGCTTGTGCATGCTGTTGCCTTGGAGTAAGCAAAAGTGAAGTTCATTCTGGCCTATTTCAGAGGTTTATGGGGACAACACCAAACATTCTTTATAAAGAATGCTCCAAATCTCTGGTCTCAAGTAAACAGATAGGAGCGTTCAGCAAGTCATTCAGCTAAGCACCTCCATGTGCCATGCGCCGTTCTAAGTGCTGAGGGCAATGGTGGACAGAGCAGAAAATCTTCCCT